GCATTCCTGTTACCTGTATAGAAGCTGAGTCCCTTTTTGGGTCTTTTATGGCCTGACTTGTTTAAAAGGGAGGTAAAAGCAGGAACAGTTTTTATGGACTTAGTTCTAGTGCCAGTATAAAGCTAGTGCAAGAAGGTAATTGGTTTCTCTAGTCCCTCATCCCACCTGTACATGAGATTGGTGGGTAAATACGCTACCAGAAAGATAGTATTGACTCATTTGCCTGCTGGTTACGTTCAAGGCTGCTTAGTTAAGTGTTCGTATGATGTTTTCTTACAGGAGACAGATTTGTTTCCTTATTTCCAAACACACAGCTCATCTTGCTTTACACCACTATAGCCAAAAATACCAGGTGAGAGAAAACAGCATTTTTCCGAGCTGCATGTGGCTAGGAGTCCTCCTGGCATGCAGTCCTAATGCAGCGCCGCTTCCTACTTTTTTCTGTGCTCAAAAGGCTGAGTTACCTGCTAATGCCACGTGTGTTTGGGCGCGAAGGGCTGGTGGAGGGTAAGCGGGAGACTGAGGGCAATGGTCTGCTCTCTCCTACCCCTCTCTGGGCTCCTTCCCTCTTTCTTTGGCATCCGAGAGCCCGAGCCTGGCTAGTCCTAGCCGCCCCGCCAAAGGCTTGCTGGAAAAGTTTCCTGCTAAGGGTTTAGTCCAAGCAGTAAAAAACAGTGTGTCCTCGAATATTGCCGCTTTAGGTGATGACCAGCAAAAGAGGGACTTGCCCCCGGGGCGAGTTTCTGAGGTGGTTGCCTCTTCGTATCCAGAGTAGATTTCACGGGACAAGGGGTTATCAGGGCTTTTGCTTGCTTCCTGATCCTTTTGCTGACGGCCAAGGCGGCTGGGAGCGGGGTGGGGAAGAGGTGTTTTCCGGGGAAGGGGGGAGCCCGGGGACGCGGACCTCTCCACGACCAGCTCCCGCTCCTGATCGCCCCTAGGAGCTGCAGCGCTCGCGCTTCTTGGGACGTTGTCAACACGCTCGAGGGGGTAGCGAGTCGTTTTGAAGAGCAGTATCTGAAGTTCAGCTCGCCCCCGTTAGAAACCAAAAAGCGCTGCCTGAAGAAGAGTCCTGCGATAAGCGCCGAGAGCCTTAGGAGAGCCTCCATCTTCCATCTTTTCTTTTTAATTTGTTTTTTTTTTTTTTCCCGAGTTTGGACACGTTTCAAGAGACTAAGACAACAGATCCTAGTCCGTAGTGGGAATTGAATGTGCTGTTTTATTTTAGTCCTTTTTTTTTTTTTTTTTTTTTTGTAAATTATTATTTTTCTTCATTTGGCACTTCCTGGAGAGTTTTGCCCCCATTCGCGTAGGCTGCCATCTCCCTCCGTGTATTTGTAGCAAGCATGTGGGCATAGCCTTGCTTACGCGCTGAGCGACTGACGGGGGAGCCACCCTCAGTGTAGCTTTTCAGCTTTTCCGATCCATTTTCTTTTGCATCAGTTTGGATTTGTGCGTTGTCAGTAACATCTGTGCTGCTTTAGTGGCGTACAGTTTTCGAGTCTAATTAGCTGGCTGCTTGTAATCAGGACTGTTTCAACTGTTGTCATTCTGAATGTTCTTTTTCCCTTTTTTTTATGCCACATTTGCCTGATTGACCTTTTGTTTTGTTTTGTTTTTGTTTTTTCTCTGTCTTTCTATCGGGCTGCTCCAGGAGCCATGGCTAATCATCTTATAACCAATGCTCTGCTTCGTCCTCATGGCACTAACAACCCTTATAATACATTGCTTGGGGAATCGGCGGTCTATAACAACCCTTCCGTCAGCATGTACAACGCACAAGGTGTGCTGGAGTTTCTCTCTAATTTTTCTAGTGAGAATTCCATTTTCTGTGGCTTATTTTGGCCCATTTTTTCTTTTTTCTTTTCTCTTCCTTTATTTCCCCCTCCCCGCCACGCACACACTCTTTATTTTTTTGGAACTGGGCACGAAAATGGTCCCCTCCGCTCCTTTCATTTCAGTACATTTTCTCCATTTTCTGTGGGCTTTTTTTCCATGAGCGATCAAGTCCACTTTGAGAGACCTTCATCGGTACCACTCAAAGCATGCATAGTGATTTTGAGTTTTCTTTTAATCTCCTTGGTTTTCTATTGTTTTGGTCTTTTGTATGTATTTTGTCAGCCGTATCCATTTATCTCTCTGTTGTCAGCACGTTTTCCTTGTTAAATCATTCATTTCAGAACCAGGAACACCTCTGAAGGTAAGTGAAGCTACAATGGCCTTTGACACCAACGCTACTCTGTGCTTGAAATGGCGAGGGGAGATGTGCTCAGCAGCGCACCAGCATGTCTGCTGGAGGTTGGGCAAGGAAAAAGCCAAACAAGACAAAAATACCCTTGATCTCTAGGGAGAAAAAAGAAGGGGGATCTGAAGCAAGGAGTGTAGGGTGGTTCCAAAGAGCAGAGTTTAGAGGTTGTAAGAAATGTTTTGCCTTTCGCATGAATGCATTTTATATGTGCCACTAGAAAGCAAATAGGAGAAGGAAAAAAGCTGTAGG